TTGTAAACAACGGAAGGGGGCGAGGCCCAGCCCCGCGGCCCGGAGTTCCCCGCGGGACAGCTCCCTCGGGCCCGGTCCGGCGCCCTTAGCGATCCGTTCAGCCTTGACTGAATGTTTGTGGGTTCCCTGCTGTGTGTTATCTTCTGCTCACAACCCCTCACCCCCCCAGGAAGAAGTTATTTGGGGGGGATCCGAGCCTCAGAGAAGTGACTTAGGGAGGCAGTGAATGGCAGCGTTCAGATTTGAATCCCAGGTTCTTAGATTCCAGGGCGCAGGCTTGTTGCTCCCGAGGCAGCCGGACAGTGTTCTAGGCTCCAATGGATATGTGTAAAGATGCAATTTGGGAATTGGCACACACACAGTGGGCTCCATAAATGGGAGCTGCCCAGGGGAGTCGGGGGTGACGCTTGCAGAGGATGGCAATGGAGCTGGGTGTTGGAAGATGGCAAGGATTTGGACAGATGAGGACTTGTGGGAGGCGGGAGAGGCCCTTTCTTAGGGCCTTGCCCTCACACTGGCCTTGTCCCAGCGATGGTGTGGCCCTCGCAGTCCTGGCCTTGCCCAAAGGGCTGTTTGGTGTCAGTGTGTGCGGGTCATTCTGAGCTGGATCCCTCAGCTCCCCCAGCACACGCGAAGGAAGGTTCCGCTGCGGCATTCACTCCGACCACCCTCTGATGAGAGTTGTTTTCCACTTATTTCTCCTCCAGAAACTGTGTCCCAGGACCTGCCAACCTCCAAGACAGAAACGGAGGAGGCGTTTGCAGTGCCAAGTGGAGATGAGGGGCAGCTGTTTGCTCCTGCCAATTCCCTGTCCGTCCGGAGCCAGGCCGCAACTGTGCAGCCGGTGATTGGGATCGTGCAGGGGGTCCGGGCAAACTCCAAGGAGAAGAAGGACTTAGGGATCCTGGGTATGACTGCTCCACCCCTGTCCTTATATGGGATTCATGAAGGAATGTTTGCGTATTGTCCGGGGCACGGCTAATGGGGCCTTGTGTCCTGTCCTTGGCAGGCAATGTGCTGGGCATGGGCATGATAGTGATCATCGTTGCCATCGGAGTTGGCATCATCTTTGGATACACCTACAAGAGGTCAGTAGCTTCTCTTCTGGGCGTCCCTCGGAGGAGGGGAGAAAGGTACACAAAGTCAAATCAGATTCCTTTATGGTATTCTTACCCCCCAAAAAGTGAAGCCCTAGGCCTAGCCTGTTTGGCTCAGTGGAAAGAGCGTGGGCCTTTGGCCTGAAGGGTCACAGGTTTGATTCTGGTCAAGGGCATGTACCTTGGTTGCAGGCTGGACCCCTGTCCCTGGTAGGGGCACGTGTGAAGGCGACCAATCGACATGTGTCTCTCACATCGATGCTTCTCTGTCTCTGTCTCTCCCTTCCACTCTCTAAAAATCAATGGAAAAATATCCTTGGGTGAGGAGTAACAACAAAAAAAGAAAAAGAAAGGGGGGTGTGGAAAAAGGGGAAACCAGCTCAAGATGTCTAGTAGACACTTGGTTCTAGTCTCTACCAGGTGACCTTGTACATAAACCCCTTTCTTTGATGCCTTTATTCCTCACCCCAAAGCCTTGTGAGGTAGGAGTTCTCATTCCCCATTTTACCGACGAGGAAACCTTTGTCAGAGAGGTGAAGTGACTCACCCAGGATCACTGCCTGGGAGTGGCAGAACATGGATTGAAGCCCAGCTTTTCTGACACCCAATTCCCCGATGTGTAATCCGGTGTGTCTGGTGTGGACGTGAGTAGCATTGCAGAAATCAGGCCCGACACTCACTGCAGGGATCCAGAGATTGCACTCTTTCTGGGAGCTAGAAAACTCTGCTACTAAAGAGCTACCCAGCCACCACTTTTGCCACTGGGGCCTGAATTTCCTGAGCCGTAAGGATATCCTCTAGGACAGGAGGAAGAAAGTGAGTTGGAGGACAGAGAGCCTGTTTACTCACTCCTCATCGCATAGAAAGCCAAAGAGGCTACCTGGGGAACTCGGGTAGCAGGAGGAGGAATGCTTGTTTGAGCGACCATGTGGAAAGGCTATCGGAGTCCGTGACAGGTGCATGATGATAAGGCGGTGTTGCGTTCCTTTCTACAGGACTGTTTGATTTTGAGGAAATTATTTGCCATTCTTGGGCAAAATCAGGGGACCTCAGCCCCGAGTGTAATATTTCTCTCCAGGGTCTGAGGAGGCTTTCTGTAAGGGAAGTGACATGGTAACCTGCATTTCCCAGTGGCCAGGGCCATGTCTGAGCCCGTAGCCCCAGTCGATCAGCCAGCATTAAATAAATCTCAGGTGTCCTTAGAGGTGATACATAGTCAGTCTCCTCATTTACAGATGAAAAAAGGAAGTGTTTGTAATAACAAAAGCAAGGATAGGAAACAGCAGATGCCAGACATTGCTTCAAGCAGTTTACAGGCTGTAACTCCATTCTCACCATCACCTTTATGAGGCAAATGCTGTTATTACTCCCCTCTCCCCCTTTTACAGATTAGGAAATTGGGACAAGAGAGGAGGTGTACCTTGCCTGAGATCACACCCCTAGCATTTGGTGAGGCCAGCTCTTAGCACTGCCTCGAACTCGCTATCTGTGTGATTGTGAGCAAGGTGCTTCTATTTCCTGTCCCAGAGCATTGCTGTAGCTAAGGCATGTGACTGAGGCATGTGGCGGCTTAGCTCTGTGGTCATAAACTGGTTTTTTTCTATAAAATGTGCCAAACCAAGCCTTCTTCCTTCTCTGGTTTTCTGTGATTCAGGAAGCAGAGGTACAGAGAGAGGAAGTACTGACCCGAGTGAGAGGGTCTCCCGATTGCCAGTCTAAAGTTGTTGCCCTTGGGATGTGCCAGCGGGACGGTTGGCTTGTTCATTTCAGAGCGTTAGATGAAATGGTGCGGTGGCCCTGACCTACAATTTGTGGTCAGAATCAAACCATGTTTGCCGAGTGTAGCCCTCCTTCCTCAGCCACTGGCTGCAGTGGACTCTCCTCCAATCTTGTGACCGTTTCCAGGCCTCCAGGTGAACTGGCTAAACATTTTTCCAAGGATGGAGTCGAACCCACGACCCTACAGTCCCCCAGGCGGATGCTTTATCCATTGAGCCAAACTGGCCGGGGCTAAGCTTTCTTCATCTCGAGCTGGGTTCTCATGCCGGTGAGGGGGCCAGGCCTTTCTTGCAGGTTCACTCCTCCAGACTGTCATGTGATTTCCCTGAGGCCTAGAATTTACCTTCCGGTAAACTCCGGGCAAGGCATGGTAAACTCAGGGCAAGGCACGAGTCACCACATACCCTGTACTAACCACAAGATCATCTCCTCCCTTCTGCAAAAGTACACAGAGTACAGTACAGACTATACGACAGGAAACCACACCTGGGCTAAAGAAAAGCTCTCCCCAGAATCAGAGAAAAGACTGTTTTGGAAAGAGCTGTTGAGTATAGATGTTGCTACTCTGCACCTTGGTTTCTTGACTGTGAAATGGGGATATATCCCTCCTCCACACACACCATACCTACCCACCCCAAGAGTATCATAAGTTTTAAATGTAAACAGAGCACCCATCAGGTTAAACAATTATAGTAGCAGCCAACATTTATTGCATGCTTTCTTAATAAGGAAGGCTGGCTCTAGCTGGTTTGGCTCAGTGGATAGAGTGTCGGCCTGCAGACTAAAGGGTCCTGGGTTCGATTCCGGGTCAGGGCACATGCCCGAGTTGGGGACTTGACTCCCAGTAGGGGTCGGGTGGTAAAGGAGGCAGCCGATTGATGATTCTCACACATGCCCCCGACCGGAATCGAACCTGGGACCCCTCAGTCCGCAAGCCGACGCTCTATCCACTGAGCCAAACCGGTTTCGGCCTCTCTCATCATTCTTTCTCACTCTCCCCTCTCCCTTCCTGTCTGAAGTCAATAAAAATATATATATTTTAAAA